TTTATTACCGCATGCATATTTAAATATCTTTAAATATCTCAAAAATCAAAGCATTTAAACATATTAAACCCTTATAATAAAAGCCTTATTTTATGCCCAAGAATTCAAAAATTAAATGTAATACCGGGTGTTCCATAAGAAAAAATATAACTTTGGTATGGATCTTAGTTCTGACACACCCTGTACATTTGAAAATAATTTTAAATTAAGCACCTTGCCTCTCTACATATACCCATAAAAATTGTTGTTTCTACATCTTTTCATTTTCGTATAATCAACCGAGGCGAATGAGGTGCGCCACCCTGTAAATTGTATGATCGAAAAAAGCTAACCTAAAAATTTGGTCTACCTACCTCCACTTCTTGTTTTGTTTTCATTGTCATTTTGAAAGTATTATTATTAACCAACTTCCAATCATACATCTCGGGAAACCAATCGTGTCTTATTTCACTCATATTAATTTACTATAATGGAATAGATTGTTTAATCGTATCGGTATTTATAAAAGCGCATACAATTTTAAAAATATCGAACTAATGTTTTATATTGCATGCTAAGGAAGTATGTGGGAGACGTGTTAGACGTTTTTGTTCTAATACATCTCTTACATACAAGATGCCGGTCGGAAACACCCGATCGTATTGACATAGTCTTTTGCATCCGCTACATACAAATATGCGGCCGGGCCCCCCAGGGCCCGGGCCCCTGTGCTTCGCACACACGGCACATCGATAGTTACGCCACTGTAGAACCTCTTTTAGTGCGAAGTGGTACAAGATAGCTTAATAGCCGTAAAAAATTCATCGCAACTTTATTAGAATATTTTGAACGGGAAAGCGGTAGTAACGACCTTTTATGTCCCTTAAGTGCTGTTAGAAGGTGAGTTTTGTTGATGTAAATAATATAATATAATAGCTCCCGTATATAGCGTTTAACGCCTTGGGAGTAGCAAGGTACAGCTTGCCATGCTAGAGCCGTTCGGTATACAAGAAAGGTAATGTGGCTAGCACTACCCTTCAACCGCCTATTATTACCTCAGGATTGTGAATCCCAAGGACTCATTTAAGGCTGAGTCGACCTAGGTACCCAAACTATTTTTATTTTAATAAAAATAGTCGGCTGATAAAATGCCGGGTGTAGGATTCGAACCCACAACCTTGAGATTGGTAGACGAGAGCCTGTACCTCTACGCCACCGGGCACATATGTAAATAATAACTGTTTATATATTTATAATAATTAATTTATTTTTGTTTCCTAAAATATTTTGATTAAAAGAAAATATATAAAAGTGGGCAACGCTGTGCCGGTCAAGCTTAATCACGTGACTAAAAGTTTATTTGATATGAACTGTGACTGAGAAATCCATACAAATATTATAAGCAGACAAAAAAAATTAAGACATAAAAAAGAAGGTACGGAAGATACACAACTCAGATGCGAAGAGAAATATAATTGGTTTCTACTTAGGTTATTAAAAAATTATAGTACCTATATAATTATTACTTCAAGCTGCTTCACCGGAAATGACTACAACTGTTGATTTTTAAACGGCCCCTCCAATATATTTTTACTTTATTCTATAGAAAATGACACTCTGAATAGAATGACATATCATATGTCAACCTTTGACGTTTTCGCTTAAAAATCGTATTTTAAATTTCAATCTAGAGTGCCATGGCCGTGTTAAAAACACTAATTTTTAATCAAGGAGCCTTGGAGAAATAGATTTGATTCTTTAATGTTTTTTGTGTCTTGTCCAGGCCCGTTAAAAGATGCCTAAATCGTATTTTTAATCATATCTCAATTTTTTCAAACGGAACAAGAGTGGCCCGTTAGCATATTTGGAAAAAGCATTTTTTTACGAATAAGTTGGCACCACACACTTGGTATTTCGAGTCAAATTGTCGTTATGGACCGCGTGTTAAAATCATGGGCGCCGGAAGAATAAAATTTAGGGGGGGGTAAGGTAAAAATGAATAAAAAAATTGAAACACATTTTTGGTAATTATTGGGAAAACTGGAAATCGTCCGATTTTCACCAAAATTGGTATACACCCTATCTTGAAGTCGTAGATTACGAATCTGAACTTTTGTTTTGGCGGTCTCTTACCGTTTTTCAGAAAAAACGGAAAATAATTTCAATATCGAATTTTTCTTAATTTCTCACATTTTTAAGGTTTTCTGGCACATATTTTGTTAGGTATTCAATAATCAATGATGTTTTTGCTATTTTCTGTTACTTTTTTAACCAATTCTATGCATAATAGAGGAAAATTTGCTAAAATAAATTTGTAAACAATCTGAAAATGTTAGGTTATAGCTTTGTTCGGGTTCTTGTTATTACCGATTCTAAACCGTCCTAGAACTCTGCAGCGCATGCGCAAATTAAATAATGTCTTCATATTTCCTACTGCGCATACGCATCACAGTTCTAGGACGGTTCAGAATCGGTAATAAGAGAAACCCGAAGTAACCTTATGTGTTTCTAGCATTTAAAGCAACGTTGCCAATGCTAAACCTAAATTTAGCGTGTTTTGTACGCTCATTCTGGAATTACGAAAGGCGGTCGCCAGAAGAACGGCTTCTTACCATAACTGTTATTTTACCAACGAGATCTGACTATTTATAACCACGCAGTTGCACGAAAGAGTTTTGATTGCATTGGTTACAACTTCCATGCGGAGGGTGTTAATCTTTTGTTGTTATATTATATCAAAAAAAGATTAACCTCCTCCGCAAAGAAGTTAAAACCAATGCAATCAAAACTCTTTCGCGTAACTTTGTGGATATAGGTCTATATTTAATTATTGTCGATCTCATAATAGGTAATTTATTTAAAATCCCTAATCACCCGAAAAATAGAAGATATGGCAACGTTGTAAATTTTCAAATTTCTAGATTAGGTCTAGAATATATTTGTCTCTCTCAATGCATAGGTAGGCAAAGAAAGAAGGATATATCAAATGTCAAACTTCCATCTGGTCTCAATTTTCTTTGTTATTTTGTTAAGAAAATTGTTTTTCAGTAAAATGTTGGACATTTTTGTATCCCCAATCAAGTGTGTCTTTTAGATAAACTATAATATAATAAAAATATATTGAAATTATTACTTTATAGGGCCGAAATAAAGGAAAATTCAATGTTGAAATAATTTTCCGTTTTTCGGTAAAAAAAACGGTAAGAGACCGCCAAGAAAAAAGTAGATTCGTAATCTACGACCTCAAAATAGTGTGTATACCAATTTTGGTGAAAATCGGACGATTTCCAGTTTTCCCAATAATTACTACATTTTTTATTATTTTACAGGTAACACCTAAAAATTTCATAATAATGATTGTTTTTTTACAGATGGATGTAAGAAGATAGCTTTTATTTTTATTGTTTTAGTGATCCAGGGGGGGGGGCAAATGCTCCCTCTTGCCCCCCCTGTCCGACGCCCATGGTTACAATTTCAAATAAACCACATGTAAAAATGTCAAAAGTTGACATGTGATATGTCATTCTATTCAGAGTGTCATTTTTTATAGAATAGAGTAAAAATACCCAGGGTGTCATTTAAAAATCAAAAGTTGTAGTCATTTCCGGTGAAACAGGAAGTTTTAATACAAAAAATGTCCATTTTTTAATTCTCCATCTAACAAAGAAATAATAACAGGGTGTTCCACCAAATCAAAGAAAGAAAAATACCTGCTACTTAGATTTCGTTAAGCAACTACAATAATGAATGATGTCAAATTTTTTATTTAAAAATCAGACCACACTAATATTGTCTTCTATCTAGGTTATACAAGTGTTTTTTCACTACCAAGCTAATCAAACTTATCTTAAGTAGTTCGCAATTAATATATCTATTTGTAATTGCATCCCAGATAGCACAAAAGGAACATTTACATTCTAAGAATATTCCTCCTAAGTTCTCATAAGTATATTCTTTTTTTAATAAGTATGGCATATGAATAGTACATTCTACTATGAATGTGATTTAAAGGTATATTATCAGCATGACCTTAGAATGTCTTCTTAAATTATGGTTTACAATAAATTTTTCAGTATCTGCTATTCACGTTCTAAACATATCAATATCTGAATAAAAATAAAGGAGAATAAAAATTATTTCGAAATGAAAAAATGAATACAATACATTATATTTGTATATGTTCTTACTATTAAATTTTTGTGTATTAAATAATTAGGGATTTTATATATTAGATGTGTTATCTGTGATATTAGTGTATATAGATGCACTGTAAACAAATATTCAAGCAAAAATACAGTGTTTCTTATTCTAACAAATAAATAACCCTGTAAAACTGTATAAATAAAAACGATCTTCCATTATGAAATAAAAAGATCGATTATACCAAAAGATAGTTTAATAAAACTCGATAGATTTTAATCGATTTTTTGGTTAAAAAGATCGATCTTCGATTGAAATCGATTCGAATCGTACATCCATAACATAACCTTAAAAAAACAACAAGTGAACTATAAACGTAAACGTGCTTCATCCAAACCCAAACTATTTTAATAATTAAAACACTGAGATAACGTAAAGGTAAGTGATGCAAATAATTATTTTAAGGATAGAATCGGTAAAATAGTTTTTGTTATGTTTGTGTTTTTCAGTATCTATTTTAAAGGTGTGAATTTAATGTTCTAAAACCATGAGACCTCGAAAAAAAATAGGTTATACTAAAAATATATTTTAAAAATTCAACCAAAGAAAAGGAGCCAAAATCTTATTAAGTCAATGTTACGCAAATATGACTCAATATTGTACATTAAACTGGATTCAAAAGCGATTCTTTATTATCCTCTGTACATCATCAAAAAGTAGTACTATCTCTGGTAGTATCATTGAAGATTTCTGTTCTAATAAGTGTAGTTCCAGTGCTGAAATTTCCTACAATATAGTATTTATATAGGTATTTATGTAGGCTCTTTTATAATCATTTATTTATTATTATTTTTTTAAGAAAAAGGTATTTTTTAAATTATTAGGTTCGAGAATTATCTAGACTTGGTGGTTCAGGAGTAGCACAAAGTACAAGGAAAGTGCTTTATAAGGTTCTTGGATGGGGCCAAACAGAAGAGAAGTTTGAAATCATTGTTAGTGGCCAAAAGCAATTTTAGGTATCTGAACTTAAAGATATTTGGTGTTGCAAAGACTGTAATAACATATATTTTAGACTCCATGAAAGGTCAATTTCAAGAGTCAAAAGAAACCGAAATTATCAATATAATCAAAATATGGCTTGTAAAACAAAAGAAAGATTAAAAAATACAAAAAGGTATGTGCAAATTTATTTGAACAGTATAATTTTGCTGATATTATTTCAGAAGGGTAGACAAGAGAATATAGAAACATAGACATAGAAGATAATATCAATGTATATTGTTATATTAAAATATTTTTAATTAATAAACATATATTACTCAAGTTCGTCTTTATTACCTATTATTTTTCGTACCTATTATTTTTAACCATTCTATTTATTAGTTAATTTTTGATTATTACACACCAAATTATTTAATTTCAGCAAATTGTTTGTAGTGTGTCCCCTGTGTCCCAGATATGAATGTACTGTATAGGTATCCTATAGATTTTAAGAGATAAAAAAATTGCTAAATATGAAAAAAATTGTATCTATCTATAGTTTATAGGATATTGGTACAGTGCATCCTTATACAGGACACCCTGTAAATACAGAGTTGAGGGTTGGAATTTTTGGTGTTACAACAGCAAAATAAAACACTAATTCACCACAATATACCAAAACACTTTACTTTTGAACTGGACGTTTGAATCATGTTAGCGTCATCAGTAGATGATTAAAACTTAAATTTTGACCATCTGCTGATGATGTTAACATGGTTAGCAAACGCGCGTCCTGTGCAAAAAATAAAGTGTTTTGGTGTATTGTAGTAAATTAGTGTTTTATTTTGCCTCTGTAAATAATAAAAAATATGAAAACATATGAAAAGCATAAATATAGAATATTAAAACATGAATATCATATAATTGGAATATTATTTTTAAATACGTTCTTTTACGAACATATAATTCACGTTCATACAATATATCTTGGAATGTGAAACGCACTACTATATCACTTGAATAGGGTGGAACGTAATCTCTGCTATTCATGTGCCATATATGTTCCCAATGAAAAAAAGGAATGTGAATAGAACATTGTTGTTCTCCAAAGTCACTTGCTTCGCATATGAAAAGAACGTAAATGTGCTATCTGGGCATGATAGGGTTGTCATCGGTATCCACATAATAGATTTCTTAACCAGTGTGAAAGTATGTATGATTAAATCTGAATATTGCAACATTTTTTTCCTTTATAATAAAATAGAACAATGCCTTGCCTTTTATCTTATGGTATTGTTTTTCGTTAATGAATTAGTTGTTAGATAAAAAAAACTTTTAATTTTTATTTAAAATGTCAAAATTAATGTTATTTTTTTAAACTTTTAACTCAATATTATTCGCTAATCATGGGGATAATTATTCTAGCTTACAAATTAAAAGCTATTTTTTAATGTACAGGATGATTCAACCCAAATGATTGTAAAATTCACGCCTCACAATGCAAAGCTGTAGAGGAGATAATCTTTAGCGTTCCAAAGTGTTGGCATTTTCAGTTCATCTAAATTTCTGTACTTAATACGCATATAAAGACGGATTTTGAGTTTTGAGTGTGCTGAAACAGGAAGAAGTCCTTCAATGAAACACCAGGAGACCTGTTAGGCCAACTAATGGTGCGCACTGTTCGGTTTTTATATGATTCACAATAAAAAATATATAAATTGTAAAATTAGTAATTTTTTAATGGCTATAATGCGTTCTTTCAAAATTATCGAACAACTAAATAATTTCCATAGATCCAGTGATGTACCGTGACTTTGAATTTTGAGATCAAAAACTGAAACAATAATTTGTCAAAAAAATCATATTACAGCTATATGTTTTATTTTGCATAAAAATGTTAACTAATAAGTTAGAATAATTATAATTCTTCCCTAACTAAGTGGTTTTATTGCTAAATTTAACTGAAGCTAAGTACAACACAAATGTTAAATACGTGGACTATTATAATAACAAATACATCGTAAAAGACTATTTTGGTAGCATTCTGAACGAGAATTCAAGTTAAGCTTTTTAGAAAATAATTTAAAGGAAAAATGTTAATTCAGTTAATATTAATTTTTGTATACTGCTCAGATTTATCTGGTCTTCTATCATATGTTTTGGAAATTAGAGAATTATCTGAAGATTTTCATGTAAAAATTGGCATTGATAGTGGTGGTGGATCACTTAAAGTTTGTCTGAATGTGCTCCCTGAAAATGATCCCGAATATTTCAAGAAATATAAAAGTGCTGGAATTAATAAACTATTCATAATTGGCTTAGGACCAAAGTTGTCTGAATCTTATGCTAACATTAAAAGCCTCTTTGAGACGTTAGATTTGCAGTCCATATGTGGAATTTGTTCCTATACTTTTGCCGCTGACTTTAAGCTTATTATGATTCTCCTTGGTCTTCAGTCAAATTCATCCACTCACACTTGCCCATGGTATTATGTAAATGTAAAGGAAATGGAAATTAAAGGATCATTCAGAACTATAAAAAGTATTACAGAAAATACAAATTTATGGCAACAATCTGGAGGAAATATAACAAAAGCCAAAGATTTTAGTAAGCGTTTTTGTTTGAAATATTTTTTTTTGTATTTTTTAAACTGTTGTTCAATGAACCATATAAAAAAAGGCAATTATTTTTTAGAAAACTGTATAAACATACCTTTAATCATTGGCGACGAAGAAACACCTGTCTTAAAGTATATTCCCCCTCCTGAGCTTCACCTTTTGTTAGGTGTGGTTCCAAAAACTATTTGATTGTCTTGAATTGGAGAATACCAATGTTGCAACAGAATGGATAAAAAAGCGGGATTGAAACTAGATCATTATGGAAAATGTAACGGAAATAACGCCAGACAACTTTTAAAGAAAGTGGATATTTTGAAGACGATATCGCCCGGTAAAGAATCCTACTCAAAGTTTTGACAAGCAAAAACCTAAACATCTTTTTTTAGGAAATAAATATATTGCAGTGTTTTCTGCATTCAATCAAGTAGTTTCGAGTTGTTTTGGTCAAGCACTAAACAAACATTTTGAACATGACATCGAACAATTTAGATTGGAAATACACAACTTAGGTATTAAGATAACTCAAAAGATTCATGCAATTCTGCATCATGTGCCAGAGTTCATAAAAGCAAATCGTAGAGTTCTAGGATTTTACTCGGAACAAGCATCTGAGCAGGTACAATTTTCCTTTAAATTATTTTCTAAAAAGTTTAACTTGAATCCTCGTTCCGAATGCTATCAAAATAGTCTTTTACGAAGTATTTGTTGTTATAATAGTCCACGTATTTAAGATTTGTGTTGTACTTAGCTTTTGAATCATATAATACTTTTATTTTGAATCATATAAAAACCGAACAGTGTGCGATTTGGCTCAATTAAGTTTCCTCTAAACGCATCTTGCCAATATTACAAACCAAGTCAAAATATGTTACTAAAAAAAATAAAAAAATTATTGATTTTTAAATGTTGGTATTAGTGACTATATTCTTATTGGATTCAATTAGGCATTAATTTTCTAGATTTAATTATATCTTGTGTAATATTAATAAAGCAAGGACCTTTAAAACCTGCTACTTTTTTTCTTAATTGGTTTTTGTAATTGCTTGAGATATAAAAAATAGCACACCTTTTGAGATGTGTATTTAAAAAGAAATAATAATCATCTTGAAGCACTTGTACATTAAAAGCAATAGCATTTTATAACCTTGATGAAATAGATTGAAAAAAAAGACGTGAAGATTTATTAATGAATTGATATAGAAAATGCGAATGCAAAAGAAATCTTACCCACGTTAAAGAAAAAAAAAATTAGTCATGGGATCGATTTTAATAAATTACAGATTAACGATAATGCATATTGTGAGTCTATAGTAAGAGAATTTATTAGAAATTTATACAAAATGGTCCATCAAAGAGGATGCTTTCAAAATTTCCTGAGACTTTTGACGATGCGACGGGGCAGATATTGCAGATATACCCTAGAAACGTTTTTTGTTAACCAGACAAATTTGTTACGAGTAAAAAGCTACTGACAGGCTGGTTTTCTTTTTAATTCTGTAAACACAGTGCCGTTTTACAAAAAGAAAAACTTTTTTATTTTTTAGATTACCAGTAAAGACAGAAGGCTGATTCTGCATCAGAGAACTTAGTATAGACTAAGTTAAGCTAAAAAAATGGTTTCTGAAAAAAAGGCCTATTCTGAATCAGAGGAGCGGAGAAGCAGGAAGTGACGTCAGACAAAAAACATTAAAAAACGAATAAAAACCCCTAAGCAACAAGAGAACACAGGAATCAACAAAGAAAACAAAAAAAATACTATTTTTGGATTTTCAGCTGTTCTTTTCTGCTTTTTAGTGGTTTATTCCAGTTTATTCCTGTTTTATCTTGTTGGTTAGCGATTTTTACTTTTTAATGGTATTGTAGCTTGTTTTTTAAACTTGATACCTTTTTTGATAATAGCCCTTTCTCTTTTTATTAGTTGTTTATAAATTTCTCTTAACTAATTATAATATTTAAATATGTCTTTATATAATTATTTTATACCGGATGCATCTCAAAAGTGGCTCACCCTTATAGCTTTTTTTATTTTTTCTGTTTATTTGGTCAGTACGGCAACGCCGCTTACTTCCGTTTTCTGATGTCATTTCTGGATTGTCAAAATCTTTTGAAGGTTCATTTTAGTCGATGATTGTTCTTTTCCCTCCGATCGCCATCTTGGCGTAACGATCAGGAGGCAAGCGTCTTTTTTGGTGGAATCCTTGCCTGTATGGTTCCTGTAGGGATTGCCAGCGTAATTTTTAGATACTGTTGAATAATTTTATAAGTTGTTACAAGGGTTTGCCAGAACCAAAGTAGATTTGTTTTGTTGGTGTGTCATGTAACATGTGGCCAGATATTCGGTGAGTTAAGTTATTCACGTTTTTTTTGCCTTTTTCAATTCTTATTCTTAATAATTTTTATTAGATTTGGAATTTTGAATGGATTCTCTAATTTTTGTCAATTGTTAATGATAGCTGGATAAGTTGTTAGTTACGCTTTGGGGTAAGGGTATCTTAGCCTAAAATCCATAAATATTAATTTAAATATTGTTCACAATCCACA